GTTGAAGTCCCGGAGCTGGAGACTTAAAACTCATGCCGGGTGAGGGATCAGCAGTTAGCGTAATGGCTATGTTGCTGGACTCCCATGTAGCCAATTGCGGTTCGAGTCCTGGACCTGGTGGCTTAAACTCACGCCGGGCACGTGTGCGTGTGTGCCCAAGGTCCCGAGAGCAAAATGGAAGAGAAGGGAATTCGGCGTGGCCATCCTCTTCTGGGGGTGACTTCTCCCTTTCTGTCTCTCTGTCTCTGTCTTTCTTTTTTTTTTTTTTCCTGTCTCTTTCTGGTGAGTGCATGTGCCCTATAGCAAAAACCTCTCCAGAGGGGGGAAAAAAAAGCAGGTGTTCGATTCCTGGTTTAATCCATTTTTAGTTGTTTAATTATAGTTTTGAAAACCTGTTCATGGTTAGCCTCAGGGGTAGAGTGGTAATGTGGTGCTCCATGATGCTGAGCTATGCAAGAAGGTCCCACGTTCATGTCCCAAGGCCTTCCTGAACAGTCTGGGTACACGTGCCTATGATTCTTGTGGGATGAGGCTGGGGGTGGATTGCAGTGTGAAGAACTCTGCTGTACCTGTCTTTCTTTTATGGAAGAAATAAATAAACTTAAGGGGAAAATTTCAAATATACCTAAAATTCTGTATCTGCAATCATTTGGTTGAATTTGGTATTTCTCTAGAATGGTAAAATTATCAAAGAACTCACATTTATTTATATCATGGAGACCATATTATTAAAAAAAATACCTTTCAGGGCCACCAGGTGGCATGGAGATTAAGGTAGCTGGATCTCACATGACCAACAGTCTTTTTGAGTGCCAGATCCAGCTACTTGAAAACTAAGCCCTGGGTACATGTGCATGTGTACTCCCCAAAAAATCTCAAGAGAATGGTAGAGAAGGGATTGTGGTATGACCATCCGCCCAAGGAGTGATTTCTCCCTTTCACTCTCTGTCTTTGTTTCCCTCTGGTGAATGCACGCACCCTATAGCAAACTAAAAAAAAAAAAAGAAACAACCTTTTCAGCACGTATAGTACCTGGCCTATACTATTTATGATTATGTAAACTGAAGTGTTTAGAACTAAACTTTTTTTTAACGTGAAACACACACACACACACACACACACACACAAAGTAAGATATGCAAAAAAATACTTAAACATTTTTGCTTTACTTTAACCACAATACTAGCTTCTTACCTCTCGATCTAATTCACAAACATCCTGGCCTGTCACAAGACACTCCCAGATTTCCTTGGCACGATTCCAACCCAGATACAGTGTAGCTTCTTGCAAGAAAAATGCCAGAAATTTTAGATGTGCCTCTAAATACTGCAAAAAAATAAAATGCTAATTAGTTAACTCCAGACATTCAAAACTAAAGGCAAAACAAAATAAAGTGTAAAATTTTATAAATAGTTTTGCTAACTGTCTTTTTATATACAATTTAGGCTAAAGTAAATGTGAGAAATCTGTCTCTAAGTTGACAGTACAATGTAATAGAAGCTATTACAAATTCTATAATTCTATTGGAAGTCTATTACAAATACAATTGACTTAAGATTTCAATAAAATGTAATTTTAGCAATCTTAAGTAAAATGCAAATCCACAACTTGCAAGTTAGGATTTTTTCATACTTTTTAAGAACAGTAATAATAGCAGTCACTTGATTTAAAAATAAAATACAGAATTAAAATGATTATGTCAGATCAAAGACAAAGGTGTTACATGTTTTTTACTTTATCATATGCAATGCTCAAGTTATTTTATCAAATATAATTTTTCTAAACTTTGTTTTGAAATGATTATGGTTAACTATACAAAACTGTTCCATGACCACAGTGACATCTCAAATTACCTCTTCATATAAAGTTACACCCCCAATAGATATTACTTCTATAGGTTAAGTCTAATAGGGCCAATGAATGCTGTCAATCATGAAACAAAAACACGAGGCCTGATACCTCCCGGTAAGTGTATCGGCCATCCACCAGAGTCGAACCAGTTAAGCCTCCAGGTCCAGCCACAGCTGCTGCAAGTCGGTGACAAGCTATCAAGCTTCCTGTTACCAATTTCACTATTTCAAAATTTTTCTTCAAGTCTTGAATAATGCTCTTGGCAAAAATAACGAAAGAAAAAGTAGTATGAGAATTTGTTTTGTTGGTTTAATACAGCTTTTATTGCAGGATGTGGTACTGCATAAAACATAGCAAATATAAAGATTTCCTCACTCGCACTTCCCACACAAAAGTAAATAAAATCAATCTAGTATGTATGTTTACTAGGGAATGAACAAACCGCTCTCTTTCTTTTAAAAGAAAAGATAAAAGTCCTTAAGGAGAGCTATTTCACTTCCCTCACTTGTGTACATTTCAGATCTCTCTTCCCAAGTATATTACCCCGAGGAAGCGATAGTCCCTTAAACTAATCCATCTGTAACACAAAGTAAACTTTTGTACCTTTTGAAACAAATTTCTAAAGTACCATTCTGACTTTTAAAACTTGACTAAATTCTAACAATAAGCAAGAAAGGAAATGATTAGGGATATATATTATTGGGTTGTCAGGAAAGCCATGACACATTTTTGCATAGAAAAACAGAAAATTATGCATGACTTTCCCGATAACTATAGGTATATATTTTATATGTGTGTGTGTGTGTGTGTGTGTGTGTGTGTGTGTGTGTATATATATAGCTTTACAAAAATAAAAGCACAATGTCCCAACTGAAGATTACTGAATTATATTGGGAACCAGCTGTTAGCGTAATGGCTATGTCGCTGGACTCCCACATAGTCAACCGTGGTTCGCGTCCCAGACCCGGTGGCTTAAAACTCACGCCGGGCACATGTGCGTGCGTGCCCAAGATCCCGAGAGGAGAATGGAGAAGGGATTGCGGCATGACCATCCCTCCTGGGGGGGTGATTTCTCGCTTTCTGTCTCTATGTCTCTCTCTGTCTGTCTGGTGAGTGCACGCGCCCTATAGTGAAAAACCTCTCCAAAAAAAAAGATTACTGAATTATATTAATAATCATAAGGATCTAAGATTGACTATAACTACAATAATTTCTGCCATTTTCTATAATTATAAAAGGTTATGCAAGGGGGCCAGCAGGTGGCGTGGTGGTTAAGGCACTGGACACTCCCATATGGCCAATCACAGTTCAAGTCCCGGACCTGGTAGCTTGCTTTCTCACTTTCCCTCTCTCTCTCTGATCAAATTAAAATAAAATAAGTGAATAAATAAAATTAAATGAATTACTCTTAAAAAGGTTATGCAAGTAATTGTATAATAATCAGAAATAGTTATTTTCTTACCTTGTCTTGCTTTTGATAGGTTTGTTTTATGAATGAGCGGGTGATTTCATGGAGTTGACGCAAAGCTGGTACCACCCATACGAACTGGGGGTTATTAAGTTGAGATGACTAGGGTTGAAAAGAAGTTATAGTAATTAAATGTAGAAATAAATGGCAGATTTGTTTATTAGCTATAAAAAACATCCAAGTCAATTTGGTCTTATTGTTACACATTCTATTACTCTCCTCTTCATACTGCTCATGTAGAGCTTATCTCCATGCACTCCTAATTCATTCTTCGACTTCTTACTCTGCATGCAATTTCCTAGAGCTAAGGACTGCAAACAGGAGTGGATATGAAGTGACAGTAAATGTACAGGGGCACATCAGCAAAAAACAGACGACAGGAATTAGCAACTTCAGAGGATAGATTAAGTAGCACAGGTCGCTAAGACATGTTGACACGATAAAATAAACTGATGGCAAAAGCTTAACTTGGATAATACTGAGCTGGCTGGTAAGTAACATGGAGTAAGAATTCGGTTTCCCATAATTACATAATTAAAATGCAAATGATATGATCAAGGTATCAATGGTGGTCTACAAAGTAAATAAAATATTCATGATTTGCTTGCATATCCTAGTTAAAATAGTTTCATAAGAAGTAACCTTAATTTTTTTTTATTATAGACACTTTGCATTTATTTTGCACTTTATATTTTTCAAAATATTTTCAAATACATTATTTCTGAAAATGATATGTGACAATCCAGATCTTCATAGTATAGATCTGAAAAGCTTGATGTTCATGCTAATACTCTAAAAAGAAATCTGCTTTTTAATAAGCAGCATCTTTCAAATTATGAAATTTCCTTATAAAATTTGGTAGGAATGTCAAAGTAAATAAACACTATTAGCGAATTGACTGATTAAGTCACTAGTCAAAAAACTGACTGAAAGTTTAAGTCCTTGGTACTCAATTTAAAGGCTCAATTTTTTTGTTTTAAAGCCTTCTTGTTTTATTGAATCTTTCTGTAAAGTAAAAAATTCCTGTGGAGAGGAAAACTGTTTTTTATGTCTTTTGCAGAAAAGCATCTTGTTACTGAATATTAAACGTGTGGGCCAGCCTTGTGGTCAAGTGGTTAAGGGAGCTGGATCCCACATGGCTGATTGCCCAATGTGAATTCCAGTCTTGAATATTCCTGGCTTGAAAAATATGACAGGCTTGTGGCCCAAATTCCCAAATGAGGGGGAAGTGGAGAAGTGATTGTGGCATAACCACATCTATTTAGGGATGCTTTCTTTCCTTTCCTCCTCTCTGGAAAGCTCATGTGCCTTCTGGTTAAAAAAAAAAAAGAAAAAAAAAGTGAGGAAACCATTGCCAAAATATTGTTTTTCTTGTTTCATAGAGATTAACCAATGAGTCAGCAAATACCATATTTCCTGGATTCTTAGACACAGGTTTCATAAATTTTAACATCATGAAATTGACACTTCTTGCAAATATGTCAAAAGAAACTTGCCAGCCACTAGGCAGAAAGGCAACTTCTGATATAGTTGGCCTCACCTGAGTATGTGCAAACTTTAGTGTTTACCAAAGTAGTTTTTCATCACCACGTGTCATTTTAGTTTGTGTAGGTAGCATCAAACAAAGATGGGTTTTTAAGTTAAATGTGGATCGCTGATTGTTACCTAAATGCTATCAAAAAAAAAAAATCCACCGTGATGTAGCCCTGATGAGCCTGTCATGTCCACGAATGCAATTACAAGTACAGAAAACTTGCAGTGGTCTCAGACTGGAGTCTTTCAAAGCCAGGAGAAGCTGGCAGGGCAGACTCTCGCCCTGTGAAGGGCTGTATCACTTGGCAGTAAATGTCACTCTGTCTCGCACTGCACTTTAATTCAAGAGAAGCTGTTTAACTTGGCAACTCAACTAAGAAAAAAAAGCACCCTGGGTTTTACAAAAGAAGACAAGTACACAAAACTCCATATTCTTCAGTATGCCCCCAAATCATACAGCCAATCTTAAAAGACATTACAGAGGTCCTTTACAGAGGCCCAAAGCACTACTACAGATTATGAAAAGTTGTGTGCCACAGGGAAGCTAATCATAATTTGTCAAAAGAAGGCTCAGACTCAACCTCTGATTGTGAATTTAAACAAACAGTTGGGAAAGTAAAACGTAGTTTCCTCTTTTCTTCTCAGTAAGCTTATTAAATCTGTGATGCTGGTTGCAATCACTGCATCTCAGAATCACAGAGATAAGGTATATGTAAAAGACAACTGCTTATAAGACTAACTAGAATGTTTTTTGCTAAAGTAAAAACCGCAAAATTATAATGATCAAAACTGTAAGGTTTATGTCCAAACTGATATTTTCTAAAAGGATGTCAAAAATTAGGACATACGTAGTATTAAATTGATACGCTAAAAAGTATCATTACAGGGGCTGGCAGGTGGCCTGGTGGCTAAGGACGCTGGACTCCCAATGGCGGACCACGGTTCAAGTCCTAGACCTGGCGGCTTGCTTTCTAACTTTCTCTCTCTCTTTCTCTGTCCCTCCCTGGTCAACTTAAAATAAGTAAATAAATTTAAAAAAAAAATTAAAAAAAAGCATCATTACAATGAATTAAGCCAGTTATGGTTAAAATATTTTAATTTAATGTTGCAAAGTATCCTGTGATGATAACTCATTATAAACTAAAACGAAAAGAAAAATAATATAAAATTTGAATTTAAGAATTATTTCTGATATAATCTTTCTAAAGTTTAGCAATCAGGAAAGATGCTATTTATCCCATTTAATCCGATATTATATTGCTGAGTCACAAGAAAAATTACTTTTTCTGATTACAAAAGGGGCAAAAGACTGGTGAACACTTACAAAAATGTACATAATTGATATGTCATGGAGCTGAGGTTTCACAGTAGGAAGTAATGGGACATCCAAATTAAACTCCTTAATGTCAGAAGCAGCCTTCAAGATCACCGGGTTTAGCTTGCAATGCTACACCTCAATTTTCTTCATTCATTTTTAATTTTATGATTGACTAATGTCTTCGTATGTCCAGGGGAGAAGAACTCACTACCTCAGACTGAGTGCTCACTGACCTATCATACTGAAATATACCTCTGCATACTTCTTAGGAGAGACCTAGAAAGTAACTGAATTGAACCTCTCTATGACAATCCCTAAATGTTTAAAAAAATGTTTCGTATTACATTTTGAGTTATTTCTTCTCAAAACTGAACATCTCCCACTTCTGCATCTGTCTTTTCCAGACCTAGTCTTTTATCTAGACCCACAAATACTGGCATGGGAGGAGAAGATTTTTAAAGCGCTTCCTCCTATATTACCACATCGCCGTGAGAGTATTTGTAATGAGGACATTTTGTTCCTTTCACTTTCTGTTACATGTTTTGGCAAGCAGAGGTGATTCAATCCTGTATTAAGTGAAGCTTTCAGTGACTTCATGGGGGAAGGGGAGGAAGTAAGAGGACGGAACTCAGCATTCACTGAAAGTCTGCCAGGCACCCATGCTAGAAGGCCTGAAGATCATAACTTAAGGAATATGCCAATACTACTGACTGAATAAAAATTATATATATATATTTTTGGTTTAGTAATATTTTTAGATGAGTACATTTAAACGTTATAATTCAAGGAAAAAAGAACTGAAGGAGGGAAAGGGCTGGGGTAGACAGTGGAAGGTAAAGAAAGCAAAGGAGAGAGGGCCGAGGGAGCCGAGGGTACCCTGCAGAATCTACAGAAGTCGAGGTCGGAACTTCTGAACACAACAGTGGGACTTGGGGATTCTGAGAGTGTCAAAAGCAGAGGGAAGGAGAATCAGTTGGGGGTAGAGGTAGCTGAGGGTGGGAAGGGAGTAAGAGGTGGGTGATCTTGTCTTACCCTTTGCTTAGTTTCTGTGTAGCCTGGCAGGGAGACATAATCCCCAGTCAGCCCACCTTGCTGCCTGGCAGGAAAGGGCATAGCATAGAAAAACACCTTTAGTGGCAGTAAATAATTCATCTCCTGCCTGGAGCCATATCCAGGGGGTCTTGTTCTTCCCACTGCCCCCCTTCAGCAATGTGTATTCTAAGAGAGTAGCTGTGAAAGCACTTCATAAACTGAAAAGTGCTAGGTGAGAGTGCAAGATATTATTGGGAGTGAAATAATGGCACACTGGAATTTCTTTACTGGGAGCAGTGGGGAAAAGGAAAAGGGAGAATATTCCTTTTTGAGTCTTACACAATGACTGAAAAATGTTTCTTATGGCTCTTTGAGTTTTGTTATAAAACAACAGACATGAATAAAGTGTCTGCAAAGAGAAGCAACGAAGACGCAGTGATGTAACTGACTGGAAGAACTAAGGAGCTTAGCTACCCCAGGAAGGAGCATGTCGGGAAGGAGTGCTCGTGTCTTCAAAAGTCATTTCCCTGGAGGAAGGGAAAGGTCCCCTTCAGCTTTGACCTTAATATCTATAAAGAAAAGTGTCTGTCGCTGAGAAGAAAAGACCATTTTTCTATAAATACCCTTTTCCTCATTACTATTGAAGGATCTCACTTCTTCAGTATCTCTGGATGAATTTCAATCATGAGGAGAGAGGTCACTAAATTATCTGAATCACTGAGCTGAGTGAGAAAACTGGAAAACCTCAAATTGTACCTGAGTAGAAAGAGAGCAATGTTGTTGAATTTAAGGAATAAATTCCTCACAGCCTGAGCATTACCAGCTCCAGTTTGTGAATTCTTTTTTAATATACAAAGCTAGATTCGATGTAGACAATTCATTTGATCAAATTTCAATGTCAGAAATAAAAAAACACAAAGTTCTTCAATGCCCCCAACTAAACTTTTTGATGAAATACAACTTTAGAGAATAAGCCCGTTGAGTCATCAAAGCCTCTTAACAAGAGCTAAGTCTCTCTCAATATAGCAATGAGAATTAGCATATTCAAGATCTTTTAAAGAAATACTTTTCAATGAAAACCAACAAATAATATTTACCAATAAAACACTAAGCCAGTAGCCATTTTCCAGAAACTTTTCTTTTGTTAAAAATAAAATTCAGAAAATGAAATTTCTCCCACAGCTAGGCTTTAAGCATGGTCTCAGCAGCCTGAGGGCCTCAGTGGGAGAACCACATTGGTCTGATCAGGGCTGCTGCAACAAAGAAGTATGGTCCATTGAGCTGGCCAGACGATCCTCCCCTCATGAGAGACATGAGGTTTAAAAACTAGAGTGACAGGAGAAATACAACCATTCCTGCTTGATCTGCCAACCGTCATATCCAAGGACATCCGTAAACTCTGTTACCTGGAGGCCACAGTCCCAAAGAGTAGGGCTCCTACGGCCTCGGCCCTCTTAGAGTCACTATCTAACCCTGCGTTCCCCAAACAGAGAGCCCCGGCCGGCACTGGGCACTCACTCAGTGACTGTTTGCCCAAGAATTACTTTGGGAACATATCTGAACTAAGCCCCCCAACAACTGTCAAGTGCCAGCATGAAAGGAACCTCTTTTTCCCTTCTTTCTTTCTTATTCTATGAACAGTCTTCCCTTTCTCCCTTATGGGAGAAAAATGGGCATGATACTAATTTAGAATCCACTGCACATATTAAAACTGTACATACTTTGGATTTAAATTTAAAAAGAAAAACTAAGTTGAAAGTCTTACAATTTGATGAAAATTATATAATAGATCCATTCTTTGAATGTGACCCTGAAATTTTTTTCCCCTTTAAGGGTCAATAACTACTCAAGCTTTAAATAATAAAACACAGGTCATAAATAAATATTTATGACTGTTATTTGTAAATTGTGATGTAATTTATTAAAGGGAATTATTAAATCAGTATACCTTTCAGATGATTCCATCTGCAAATTCTTACCTTGAATCCATCCTTCTTGTTTTTTTCTAGACCTGACCATTCTCCAGGCTGAAAATTAATTTTAAGAGAAATATAAGTGACTTAGTAAAAGAAATACCTACAATTTCCCAATCCTAGACTTTACAGAGCTTCTACACAGCTTATCTATTGGGTTGTCAGAAAAGTCATGATGTATTTTCCTATGAAAAAATGTGTCATAACTTTTCTCATGACCCAATGGTTTCACATGAGTAACAGGGGGAAGTTATTTGTTTCTAATTACTTAGGCAATACTGTCACTCTGACAACAAAATCAGACTACGGATGAAACCAACCCTTTTAATGTCCTCTATGCACTTAATGATGTAGCTCCTCTTGATAGCCTCCTTCACTGCGTAGGCATCACTGAGGATTGTCAGGTGCTCTTCCAAGGCTTGCTGAATAAGGCTGCTGGGCAGGGTTGGAAGATGAGCCAGTTCCCAGAGTACGTCCAACACCTACAATAACATCACAGATGATGAGCCAGTCGAAGGCGAGTAACCCCGCCTTACGCACTGGGAGCTAGAAAAAGCCTTATGATTCTCCTGCCTTTCCAGAAGTGGTCTCGAAGCGAGCTTCCCGGCCTATGCGTCCAATCAGGCTCAACAGCTTCTGCCTTACTCTATCGCTCTCCGTCTCCCAGCTCTGTAGAACGGAAAAGAAACGACAAGGAATTGCTTCACGAACTGACAAAACATGCAAAAACTTTAAAAACCGGAGCTTAAAAATGTTTCATCAAGTAAGAAAAAGGACATTCAAACACTGCTCTTTGGTAGGGGTGAGGGACCTCGAGAGCTTATGTTAGGAATATGTTAAAGTAAGCGAGTCTGACTGAACACATACCTTTTGAATGAGAACAAACAAATGATTAAGCTGATCTGAATTAAATTTCACAGCTGCTGCAGCAATAATAGTGTGAATGTTCTCAATCACCGTAGATGATTGTCCTGACTAGAAAAGGAGACAGACGTTAGAAAAAAGTTGAGTCTTAGAACTTGGAAAAGCCTAAGCCTTCTCCCTGGCAATTTACAGAAGCAAAAACGAAATTAAAACAATGTTAAATTAACCCAAGTCTAATCAGCATTCACTTGCATGGTAACATTGGCAAGACCACATGAAGCAAGCATTATAAATGGTTATCTTTACAAAGACAATGTCAGGAAAAAAAAAATCAAATTTTCAGCCTGACATAATCACTATAAGAAGACAACAAAGTATTTTCAACCAACTAAAATTTCAAGCTGACTAAATTGCAAGACAAACATACTTCTGACATTTTATAAGCAATTTTGAGGGCCTCAGTTGACAGTATTATCTGCCCCAGTTAAAATTTTGCTTCTAGACATTTTGTGCCTCAATTAATGTTTATTTATCTAACGTGCAGTGAGACTCTACTGTAGAACTGTGGACCCTATCATTGATCTTATGGTTGAAATTCACTTGATAAACCTCAATCATGGCATCCTCATGCCTCCTCACTGTACACCATGTGAGAAACTTGAAAGGCAGGGGGACATTTTTAAGTCCAACTCTTTGGGAATTTTCTCAGTATCTATTATGCATATAGAGCCATTCACTGAATTCGTGCTGAATGATATACCCTATGAACATCATGGTCTCTAATCTTCCATCTCATGTGGACTCAATTAGAGGAGGGTATTCAACCGAAGGCCAAGATGTGGAAAGTGAAATACAAGTGACCGCGGCATGCTTCCTTCTACTCCTGCACCTAACTTTCTTCTGTCTGTTCCTGCAGCGCTGGGCTGCGAGCCTGCGAACTACAATGCCCACACTCCTCTGCCACCTATCTTCCTGATCTGTTCTGTGGCTGAGAGGCAGGGCTGGGAGATGAAAGGAAAAGAGAAACGTGCTGGGGTAGGCTGAGAGTAGGTGCATGTACTGGCTGAGGCAGCGAGAGAATCCAGAAGCCTTGGCGACACCTCAGACGGGTGAGCTCCTGAGGGAAAGCACCTTTAAAAGCAGCTTCTTTTCCTTAGACTAAACAACCCTCTTTTCTCTTCTGCTCCCCAGGATTCTTTCTTTACTTCTCTCTTTGGGTCTCTTTCACTTTAGCCACAGCTTTGTAAACGATGCCCTGTGGGCAATTTTCTCTGGAACGCAAAGCACAGTTGCAGTTTCCTGGCTAGATTCGGTCTGATACAGTGATTAAATGGATATACTCAAGGCCCACTACAGGTTCCTCTCTGCCTTTCCAACTAGATGAATACTACCACTGAAACAGAGAAGAGTGGCTAGGTTTGGACATAAAATATTTGAGCTTCCAATGAGATACATACACAAAGGTATAATAGGAACTTATTTAAATGTACTACACTGGGCAAGAAGAAGTCTAAGTTAGAGATATAATTCAGTCAGTAGCTACAAATATAGTCAAAGTCAGTGGATGAAACTGACTAATGAAAGCTTAAATAGTGAGAAAAGAGCTAAGGATTCTACTTGCAAAAAAAAAAAAATCCCTAATATTTGAAGACAAAGTAGAAGAGAATAATTTATGAGAGAGAGGGAAGTGACTGTTAGAATACACTGGGCTGGGGACCAGCAGGTGGTGTGGTGGTTAAGGCACTGGACTCCCACATGGCTGACCATGGCTCAAGCACCCGGCTGCTTGAAAATCATGCAGGGTACCTGTCGGGGCGTGCCCAAAATCTCAAAGGGAGAATGGAGGAGAAGGGATTGTGGCATGGCTATCCTTCTGGGGATGTGGGGGGGTGATTTCTCACTTTCCTTCTCTCTGTCTCTCTCCTGTTAGTGTACACAACACACTGCAAAAACTTTAAAAAAAAATGAAGAAAATCTACATAGAGACCCAGTAAGGTAAGATCTGTAAGCTCAAATATTTCTAGCACCCTCACTTAATAGGGTTAAATAGGAAAAATTACTCATGAAAACTGATAAATGCAGTGAAAACAGCAGTGGACTGATAAGTATCTATTATGCATATAGAGCCATTCACTGAATTCGTGCTGAATGATATACCCTATGAACATCATGGTCTCTAATCTTCCATCTCATGTGGACTCAATTAGAGGAGGGTATTCAACCGAAGGCCAAGATGTGGAAAGTGAAATACAAGTGACCGCGGCATGCTTCCTTCTACTCCTGCACCTAACTTTCTTCTGTCTGTTCCTGCAGCGCTGGGCTGCGAGCCTGCGAACTACAATGCCCACACTCCTCTGCCACCTATCTTCCTGATCTGTTCTGTGGCTGAGAGGCAGGGCTGGG